GGTCAATGCTTGATTCTATTTCAGTAAATCAAAGGAGAAAATTATATGAAGATATTGATTGATTGCAGAAAGGCATTTGGTAAAATTCAACATCCATCCTAGACAAATCTTTTACTGTTCTATAAATAGGAAATTGCTTACCTAATAAAGAAATTGTTTAGTGAATTAATCAGCTAACATCACTAGGAAGAATCATGTTAAAGGCTGAGATCAAGATAAGAGCACTCAATGTCAAAAGTATTGTTTAACATAGGGAAGTTTATTGTTTATTATTTAACATCTGGAAGTACCAGCAGATGTAATTACATAGGAAAATAAAACTGGACACATAAACAAAATAATAGGCTAAATTACCATGATTTGCTGGTTCTGTAGTCATCTACTTGAAAAACTCAAGGATATTTGCTGAAACCCCATACAAACCAAAGGAGAGTTGTCAAAGAAAAAACAAAGCCGGGCAGCAGCTAAAGTGGTGAAAAGAGATTTTATTTAGGAACTACTGCAGTCGGGAAAGGGAGACATCAGTACAGAACTGGGCTCAATTCGGAATACAGCACAGGCCAGTGGGGATTTATAGCCAGAAAACAGGTGGGGGTCAGGGGATGGAAAATTACTGAGAGGAAACATCAGGAGTAAGGGGGAGGGGTGCTGGCTAAACTGACTCCACCTAATAGGATTCTTTGCTGAGGACAGGCTGGGGGGACCAGACATCACTGGGCCATGGCGGAGGATGAGGAACTCCATCAGATATTGATATTAGGGATATCCATGTCTTCACCTGCAAGGTGGGCTGCACCTACTGTCCCTGGGCCCTGGAGAACACAGAATTCATGCTGAGCTTTAGAAGGAGCATAGAACAGTGGAAAAATCAGGGTTCTTGCTAAAACTGGATTTTACGAGGAAGTGCATTGATGGGCCTAGGAGAAGGTTCAGGAGCCTCACCAAAGTTTGGTCAAGCAAAGACTCCTTTCTCAGAGTTTGTTCATTCATTCACATGTACTTTCAGCAAATATTTGCTAAGATCCTACCATTCCAGACATAGGGAATAGATGAGACAGCACGCAGTCATGCAGCTTATATTCAGAGAAGGGTGTTTGGCAGGATGGGGAAGGCAGAAAGGAGAGAGGAAATTAATATGCAAGTAAACAATAACCAAGTCATAATAAGAGTAAGCACTATGTGGAAAATCATAAGATAGTCAATATTTAATTAAACATTAAAAATAAATAACCATCCATTATAACAACAATAATCATTTCAGACACAGAAACATTTGATAGAATTTGCCAGTGAGAGCATCCGGGTCTCTAGCTTCAAGAGAGGCTGAGAGATGGGTTTTTAGCAAGACCAAATGCCACAAATATTTAAGAAAGAAACAATTCCAAATTGAAACTCATAAAATAGACAACACATCCCAGCTCATTTTATAAGGCTGGAATTACCCTGGGTACAAAAAGCAGAGAAAGGAATTAGAAGCCAGGAAAATGACCAATCAATATCCCACATGTATCCTGAGCAAAATATTAGCATACTGCATTAATAAACACAAAAGATACCACGCCCGCATCAGACGGGGTTTTCCTGTGCAGCGGCCTGGGGGGGTCTCGGGGCTGGGTGAGGTGGATGACAGCAGGTGGGGCACTGGCCCCCTGAGTGGGGACCCGAGAGGACCTCACATCCGAGCAGATGGCAGACTGAGGGACAAAAGGAGGAAAAGAGGGGAAAGCCTGATCTGGTAGGAAGCTAAACACATCAGAACGACTGTCTCTCATTCTGCCAGCACCAGACTTGTCTTAATGGTTTCACTGATGAGGGACTTGCGTGCTTGTTAGAGTCAAAGGAAGGCCAAGTTCATTTCTTTAAACGATGGCTCGGGGTGCCCCCTCCCCACATGTGTTTGAACAATTATCATGGTCAAGATGGGAAAAAATAGAAAAATTCTATAATTGAGAAAAACCCTTCAAGGTACTTGTATTTCCTCTATTGTAGAATATTGTAAAACTTTGATAAACATGACCTTTGAATTAATGGTGCTAGAGTTTCATGTCGGTCCCAAATTTGTGTCAAACTGGAAAGTTATAAAAAGCTTTCAAATACATGGTTTACTTTGTCACCAAACCCACCACGCCTTTTTCAGTTTCTGGAATCCTTGCCTCCTCCTTCCACCTAGAAGACAAGAGTTATCCACCAGGGAACCCCCCCACCCCCCATGCAGCGTCTTCCCCTGCGGGGCACGCTGAATGCCCTGTACCCAGCCGCTGGAGGAGACAGAATTAAAGCAGAGCTTTTGAAAGTGTGGAGGAGTGATCAGCCTGATCCTGTGTGTGTGTGTGTGTGTGTGTGTTTGGGAGCCAGGAGTGGTCAGAGGGGTTGGGAAAGAAATAGCTCAGATCCACTCAACCCGGAGACACCTGGCCCTGAGCATTCTCCTGGGCTGCAGGAAACTCTGCAGGGGACCCAGACTAGAGAGCCCCAGGTGGGAAGACGCAGGGAAAAAGCAAGGAAGGCCATTAGATGTTTACCAGAGCTATTGACCTCATGGGCTCAATGGAACAAAAAGGTGTAATATTCCTATTTTACAGTCAGGGAAATGGAGTCCCCTCTATCCCTGCAGCCATGGTGAGAGGGAAGAGGAGGTCGAGTTGCCCTTCCTTACCCTTCCTGGGACAGCTGTGGTCTGAGCTTCTCCATTTCTTCTCCTGTCCCAAATCCTGGGTTTGGAGGAAGAAGGCAGGTCCTCTCTAGATGGTCATCAGAGTGGGATTCCAGAGGTAACAGGGGCCACCCAGGGCTATTTCCTTTACCAGGGCCACCAACGGTGCCATTCCCTGACAGTGAACCCTAGTCCCACACTTCCTGGCCATCTCGCAGAACCCGGTTCCCACAGAGCCCGATGACCTCACACTTACTCAATCAGACTCCTCCTGGGAGAGCCAAACTTCTGAAGAGGGGACCCTTCTCAGGATTGGGGACCAGAGACTGATTTGGGGTTCCTGTCTCTGCAGTTTCCATCCCCGGGGATGCCACTGCCACTGAGCTCTGACAGGTCTGAAGGCCCAGATGCTGCGCATCGTCTGTACCCATGGGGAGTCTAGGACCCCAGGCTCTGCTGGAGGGTGTTCACCCCACAGACCCTGGTGGGGAGCCCACAGCGCAGAGAAATGGCGATTCCACCCGCCAAGTGCTCCCTGTCTGCTGCGAAGGGAGGGCCTCCTTGTCACACAGCAAAGAGCAGGTTAGAAGGACTGAGGACCACAGGGAGGGCAGTGTGGGAAGGAAGAAGGTAACCTTGGGAAAGGGAAGACTCCAGGAGAACTTCTCACCCGGTAATGGCGCTCTCCGGTCAGCAGGGGGCAGGGCAGCCCGTTTGTTCCAGCAGCGCTCTCCTGCCCACCGCTGTGGCGCGAGGAACAGGTCCCCTGAACCCGAGTCAAGCAAGTCATGCGACAACAGCCCACCTCCCGCTGGGGTGCCTGCCCTGCCGGAGGGCGAAACCAGCTGCAGAAGGAGCTCTGCAATGCCACCAATTCACCGGGGAACCTTAAAGGAATCACCAAGACTCCTTGTGCCTCAGTTTCCTTATGGTGAAAGGGGGGTAGTGACCACTGCTTCACAAGGATTTTGTGGAAATGAAATTAAACCAGGGGTTCCCAGACTTGTCTGCACACTGAGATGACGTGGGGAGCCTCACCACACTGGGCTAGGTTCTTTGGTCTGGGTGGTGGCTTAGGCCTGCACATTTTTTTCCATAAGCCTGAGGTGATTAAAAGGTACAGACAAGTTTGGGACTTCCAGAGTTAAATACTCCTGTGACCAGGCTTTGTAAACTCTAAGTTGCAAATCTGGTTTTTCTCTTTTTCCTGAAGACTCTTTTCCCCCTATTTTGTTTTCATAAAATTGAAATTCCATCCCCTCTCTTCTCATACTTCCTGTATAACCTCTCAAAATGGAAAACGCAGATTTCCCTCACAATCTGAACCCAGGCTACTCAGACATTCCCTCCTACCACCTGTATGAAGTTTGTCCAAGGTGCCCGGAGTAAAAACCTCCTGAACCAAGGGAGATAGGCAGGGTGCCGTGAGTCCAGGGGAGAGTCGGGTCCGAGGCCCTAGTATCTTCACTCTTCCCCCCAGTGGGATCACCGTCAGAGGGGGACAGCTCAGGCACCTGCAGGGCTCAGCCAGCCCAGGTCCAACTTAGATAAAATCCTTAGTAGTTTCAGCCCATTGTTTCATGTTTACCTACACTACCATAGTCATGGCTGTACAGAAGGGAAATATACTTTGTATCCACAATCGTGTGGAGCCCTTGTGATCTTCATATAAACCTACTCAGGAAAGAGACCACTACACATGAAATAATGTGGGATTTGGCATTCGGGTGTTAAGTACTGAGCCATACTTGGAGCTGATGATCGGGGTGCGTGAGGGGGTGCTGTGAGAGTCGGGGAGCTTGCCTTGGGGTTGCATGGCCTGGGGATGTTTTACTATGGTTCCCATTAGTTGCAATGGGGTCCAGGCTCGTAGTGTACATCTTGGGGGGCTATGAGAATCTATGAGTAAGTGTGCCTGTGTCATTTCAACCACGCTCCCTCCATGCCAGGGGCTCTCTGCTCTCCCTGGGGGCACAGGTACTTAAGGGTGGCTCAGGCCTCAAAGAGTCCCTACCTGCCTTGGGTCAGTTCTCTCCTGGCTTTTGGAGATGGGTGGAAAAGCCAGGCCTCTGAAAGGATGAAGTGAAAGGAACCGAGATTGAAAGAAGTAGGGTGGTCTATTTCTACCTAGCTTTCCCCTATAAGTGCTGGGTGGGGAGTGGGGTGGGCCTGGGGAACCCAGAGCAGCCCCAGTGCCTGGACCACCCGGCTGAGCAAGGCTGAAGCTGGAGATGCCCCCAGCAGCTGGAGGTTCCCACAGGGGGCCCCCACCTTCCCGCTGCCCACAGAACCCGCCCTGCAGGGCTCACACTTACTCAATCAAGACCTCTCCTTTCTCAATCTTGCCCTCGATGTGCTGGGGCATCTGGGCAGAGTCGGGCCTAGTTCCTGGGTCTCTCCGTCCTGTAGCCACCCTGTACCCTTCACTCCAGGCACCCTCGCACGGGGACAGGGCAGTATGACCTGGGAGGCCCTACACCTGCCGCTGGTCCTGCTGCTGTTTGCCTCAGGTAAGGGGCCCTCAGGCGGAGGGTGGCTCCGGGGGACAGGGCAAGGGAGGGAGGGAGGTTGGAGGTGAGTGGATGGTGCAGTGTGCTACGGGAGGGTGGGATGGGAGGGCTGGAGTGCTGTCTGGGGTCATGCTTTGAGGGTGGCTGTGTCTCCTTCCTTAGCCTCACCTGAGAACTTGTTTTCTAGGCTCCTGGGCACAAGTCGAGGAGAATGAGGTGGTGTGGGCGGTTCAGCAGCAGGTGGTCTCTGTGAAATGCCCGTCCACGCCCCCGGCAGGTGAGTATGAGAATAAAATCTGGTGTAAGGAAACCAAGCCAGGTTATTGTTTGAAGCTGGTCACCAGCACCAGACCCCAGGTAATGGCTCAAAACCCTCCACATTTTATCTGGGACAACCCTTCTGCTGGCTTCTTCATTGTCATCGTAACAGAAATCACGAAGAAGAGTTCAGGAACCTACTGGTGTGGAATAGACAGAGGTCCTAAAGAGAGCATCTATATTCTCAAGAACATCAGCCTGGTGGTGACTTCAAGTGAGTTCTTTGCGGAGGGCAGGGGCCTTCCTGGGGTGTCCGGGGAAATGAAGCCACTCACCTCCTTCTCCCGCCTCCCTCACCCAATCCTACCACTTCCGTGCTCTCTCCCACTGGGGGCAGTTAGGTCCCTAGTTCCCATATTCGGGCCATCACCTCTATCCTTGGGTATTCTCTCCCAACAGGTATAAGCTAATTTGGGGCCCACTGGGTATAGCTCCCCAGTTCACATGATGGCTCAGACACAATCTCACCCACTGATCCCCAGAACTGGCCACCCCATGGAGGTACAGGGCATCTGTGTGGGGCCCTGTGGCCTAGGTCACCCCCTGACTGGACATGCTGGTTGTTCAGGACCTGGGTCCAAGGCAAGACTAGAAGGGTCTCGAGACTCTGATGGTGAAGAGGCCAGACCTTTGGGACAAGAGGTCTGTGCCCTCTCCACAGGAATGCTCTTGACTCTCCCTGCCCTTGGGGGTTTGGGGACCCAGTATGAGGCTTCTCTCTCAGCCCAGGCCTCTCCCGGCCCCTGCCTCTCTCTTTCCACCAGCTCTGAGAAGTTCCGTGTCCTTAGACCGCAGTCAGCTCTGGCCTGGGGGTGCCCCGGGGGCTGGCTCTGGCCACTCCCCCTCTTCCTGTCAGGCTTTGGGGGCTGACTTCTTCTCTGGGGACTCTAGGCCTTCTCTGTTGTCATCAATCACACTTGCTTTTCTAGTGACAACTGGTTCAACCTTCATCAGTGACTCTGATTACTGGTAGGTCTGGGGTCTCACCTAAAGGGAGGGGGCTGGGAAGCTGATGACTTGTGTGGACTCTGAGTCAGGAGATCAGGGGGACATAGAGGTCTGAAAGGGGCTCCAAGGTCTCAGCTCAGAGCTGGGCTAGGTTGGCAAGGATGAAGGAGTGGCTCTAAACTTCCCCCATGATGGAGCAGAAATAGCTACATACCAGGAATGCAAGAACTTCTATTAGTGCTGATTCACAGGCAAGAGAAATGAGGTCTGTCCAGAGTCACTCAGCTACTTCAGGGCGGTGGCAGGACCAGGATCCAGGCCTTCTGTCCTCTGGTCCAGGGCTCCTGTGGGGTTCAGACATTCTCCAGGGGCACCTCTGGGTAGTCCCCTCCCTGGTTTGCCTATTACAGATCTGGGGGCTCTCTCCCTCTGCTTTTTCTTCTGCTCCCTATCCATTGGAGCTGTGGCACGCCCTGATAGTGTCACCCAGAGAAATGACAACTCTGATCATTTCTTTTCTCCTTTCCAACCTCTCCCTCCACCTCAGTTTCCTGGGTTCTCATGATTTTGTTCCGGGTGATCCCCGTGGCTGACCCCATTGAGTTCAGGGTGGGGCTGGCCCATAAACCGGCTCCAGCCCCATGCTGAGTTCAGGGGCTGCTCTCCGCAGCCTGGGATCCTCCCCTCCTTCTTCCCCCTTCTCCCATAGTTTTTTGGGCAGCACTTCTGTGATGCTGTTGTGTGCATTCCTCATGACCAAGATCTTGGCTTTGACAGCCCTCCTCCTGTTTCTGACCTACAGAGCCCAGGTGAGTGGGGCCTGGGCTGGCTTGGGGGCCAGGGGAGTGCGGGAAACTTCTCTCCTGGGAGACAGGTACCGCAGGACAGAAGTAGCCAGGAGTCACACAGGGGGCATTGTATCCTTTGTAAGTTAGACCAACTTAAATGTTCTTTTACCTCGCCCGTCTCTGCACACGCATTTGGTTGTTATAAGCCACCATTTTCTTGGACATTCAAACTCATGCCCTTGGGTCATGTCCACCCACAGCAGCTAGGTTGTCCAGTTTTGAGGCCAGCCTCAGGCATCCTTCTTAAGTGACCCTCAGGTGTGCACACAGAGGTACCAGACACATGTGCACACATGCACAGGTATTCATTCCCTCTGTCAGAGACCACACCTACCCAGCCTGAATTCCCTTCTAAGGGTCCCCCTCCCACCACCACCAAGACTTCAGCTCACACTCTAGAGCTCCCATCCCAAGACTTTGTCTCATTCTGTCCTGAAGAGGGAAGCGTGGGCAGGGAGAAGAAGCTGAGGATCTGACAAGAAGGAGAGACTTCAGGAATGGAAAGGGGATGGGGCCGGAAGTGGGTCAGATGAAAGAGGGGAGGAACAGCCAGTGAGTGTGTTTCTGAGCCCCCTTCCCCGCTTCTCAGGTCTCCACCAGGACCATGGGAGTAGCAGCAATGGCTGCCCCCAGCCCCACCAAGACCCGAGAGCCCTTGGGCACTCCCCACTGAGCCTGGAGTTCCCCCACCTCCTCCTGTTCCATCAGGACCACTGAGATCTGGAGCCTCCGAGACAAGGCCGTTCCTGTGCCTCTGGAAGACACCTCCCACCACCTAACTCCACCAGCTACACTATGGTGGTGCCTCTCGTCCCAGAGCTGAGGATCCCCATGTTGCCTTCTCCAACGCCATGTCCACAAAGAGGGGACCCACCACCTGGGAGACTCTCCCTGTGCATCCGGGCCACCCCCTCCTACCCAGTGGACCAAACTCAACTGGTAGGCATCCTCCCCCTAATGTGTGCCCTTCCCTCCACTCCAGGGTTTCCTGTTTCTCTGTCAGCTCACAGTTCAGCTGATCTTCCGATCACCAATGCCCACTGCAGTCAGCTTTGGTTCTTCCTCCCGATAAGGGAAATAGCCTTCCTTCATACCATATACAAATGTAATATTTGATATTTCCAAAAGTGACATAAGTTTTAAAAGTATATGACAATGAAGGAATAATATTTCCATCCTCTATGCCAGATAAAAGGGTTAACAGCTTTAGGACCTAAACATCTTTTTCTTTTAAATAAATAAGCATCAGGCAAATATTTCCATTTTAAAGAGGGCTAAGGATAGGAACAAGTTAACTGTTACAGAATAAAGAGCAAATACTACGTATGAACATGTGTCCAAAATGGTAGATAATCAGAGAGATGAGAAATGAAGTGAGACCCCACACTTTGCCTATCAGTTCAAAGAAGATTAAAAACAATTGTAATCATATTCTGTGCTGGAGAGGTGTAGGGAAAAGGGGATTCTCATGAACTGTTGTAAGGACATAATTGATAGCCTCTTCCTGGAGGGGCAATGTGGTGATGAATTAAAAGGCAGAAAATGTAATTTATTCATCCATTCTACTGTTCATGGACATTTGGTTTCTTTCTCCTTTTTGGCTGTTGTGAATAAATCTGCTATGAACATTAAAAAAAAGGCAGAAAAAAGGAAAACAAACAAAAGAAACATCTGGCTTGTGAAGCGGCAATTCTAAACAATTTTCTAAGTACTTTGACATGTGTGGTGATTGCTGTTGTTTAAAAAAGAAAATAATGGTATGTCCACTATATGTTGGTTTTAAAAAGTGTTTCAATGATACTTGAATAAAAAAATAATAAAAATAAAAAGGCAAATAATTGTACAAGACTTGAAAATCCGAAGCAGTCTCGCACTCTCCCACTCTGTGCCCCCAGCTTCCATTCTCCTGAAGGAATCCACATCTTTTATCTATGTATTCTGATATTTACCTCTTTATTTGTGGAAGAGAAGAAACAAAGCCTATACTGTTCTTTGTTCATTTTCTAGTTTTTGATATTATCCACTAATCTCCCATTAATGAGGATAAGAATTGGGTCATTTCACACATCACTTCCCTACCCACCCCCACATGCTGTCTCCCCAAACCACAATATAGTCAAATCACAACTGCCCATAAGAAGGATATGCAGAGGGCACCTGGGTGGCTCAGTCGTTAAGCAGCTGCCTTCAGCTCAGGTCATGATCCCAGGGTCCTGGGATCGAGCCCCACATCAGGCTCCCTGCTCCACAGGAAGCCTGCTTCTCCCTCTGCCACTTCCCCTGCTTGTGTTCCCTCTCTCGCTGTGTCTCTCTCTGTCAAATAAATAAATAAAACCTTAAAAAAAAAAGAAGGATATACAGATTTTACATTTTGGGACCCTGTAAATACTTGTTTTTCAACCTAGCCATGGAATGAATGTATTATGATTTCGTTTTCTTTTCAGTATAATTTTTGATTATCCCCCAACTTGCCTTATTTTTGTTTGTTTTTTATGTATTTGCCATTAATTCATTTGTAAAGTCTCTACCAAAAGTGTAAATTTCATCTGGGAAGTTCAAACACATGAAGTCAGGCATTGGATTCATTCCATTGAGATGCCCGGGACATACTGGTTGTCCTACTGCTGCATTGGTTTCCCTATTCTACTCACCATCTTCTTGGACACTCCCTTGGCTTCCATTGGGTGTTCGATGTGCTCTCTCCTGAATTTCATATCTTTCTCTTCCTGAGTTTATCCTTCTTATTATCTTTTTTTTTTTTTTTAAAAAGACTTTATTTGTTTGACAGAGAGTATAAGCAAGGGGAGTGGCAGGCAGAGGGAGAAGCATGTTGCCGCATGCATTCTTTTCTGTTCCTAAGTCATAGTCCACTGTATGAATATACTGGCGTTTTTATCCATTTATCTGTTGACATTTGTGTTATTTGGCTGTTAGGAATCACGCTGCTGTGATCATTCTTTTTTTATTTTTTAAACAATTTTTTATTGTTATGTTAATCACCATACATATCATCATTAGTTTTTGATGTAGTGTTCCATGATTCATTGTTTGTGCATAACACCCAGTGCTCCACGCAGAATGTGCCCTCTTTAATACCCATCACCAGGCTAACCCATCCCCCCACCCTCCTCCCCTCTAGAACCCTCAGTTTGTTTTTCAGAGTCCATCGTCTCTCATGGTTCATCTCCCCCTCCGACTTACTCCCCTTCATTCTTTCCCTCCTGCTATCTTCTTCTTTTTCTTTTTTTTAAACATGTTGCATTATTTGTTTCAGAAGTACAGATCTGTGATTCAACAGTCTTGCACTATTCACAGCGCTCACCATAGCACATACCCTCCCCAATGTCTATCACCGAGCCACCCCATCCCTCCTACCCCCCACCTCTCCAGCAACACTCAGTTTGTTTCCTGAGATTAAGAATTCCTCATATCAGTGAGGTCATATGATACATGTCTTTCTCTGATTGACTTATTTCACTCAGCATAACACCCTCCAGTTCCATCCACGTCGTTGCAAATGGCAAGATCTCATTCCTTTTGATGGCTGCATAATATTCCATTGTGTATATATACCACCTCTTCTTTATCCATTCATCTGTCGATGGACATCTTGGCTTTTTCCACAGTTTGGCTATTGTGGACATTGCTGCTATAAACATTGGGGTGCACGTACCCCTTCGGATCCCTACATTTGTATCTTTGTGGTAAATACCCAGTAGTGCAATTGCTGGTGCTGTGATCATTCTTGAACAAGTCTTTTTATGGACATCCATTCTAATAGTTTGCCAGGGCTGCCAGAATGTTCCTTAACAACAGAAATTTATTTTCTCACAGTTCTGGAAGGTAGACATCTGAGGTCAAGTTGTGCACAGAGTTGGTTTCTTGAGGACTCTCTCCTTGGTTTGTAGATGGCTGTCTTCTCTTCCCTGTGTCTTCATGTGGTTGTTCATCTGCACTTATCTGGGTCCTCATCTCTTCTTACAAGGATACCAGTCATATTAGGTTCCACCCTAATGCCCTCAACTTAACTGTCTCTTTAAGTACCCTAACTCCGAATACAGTCACACTCTGAAGTACAAGGGGTTAGAACGTAAACATATGAATTAGGGGGGACTCAATTCAGCCCATAACATGCATTTTCCTTTCTTTGGATTAAATACATGGATATGGAATTGCTGGGTTATAGGGTAAGAATATGTTTAACTTTATGAGGAATTGCCTGGCAAATTTCCAAGTTATTGTACCATTTTTGCACTCCACCCCACCCCCAACCAACCATTGCATGAGAGTTTCTGGTTCATTTATTTCCTTGCCAACATTTGGCATTGACAGTCTTTTTAATTTTGGCTATTCTAATAGATGCATAGAGAAATCTCACTGTAGTTTGACTTTGCATTTCCCTGATGAGTAATGATGATCACCATGTCTCTTATGCTTACCAGCCACTACCATATCTTCTCTTAGGAAGTGCTCATTCCCTCATCTGCCCATTTTTATTGGATCATTTTTCTTTTTAGTATTAGATTCTAGGAATCCTTCAAATATTCTGGATATAAATCTTTTTCCAATCTTTGGAATGCGCATATTTTGTCTTAGTCTGTGACTGGCCTATTCATTTTCTTAATGGTGTCTTGGGAGGAACAAACAATTTTCATTTTGATAAAGTCCAATTTTTTCTTTCTTTAATGTTTAATGCTTTCTGAGTCCTGACTAAGAATCTTTGACCACCCCAGTGTTATAACAGCATTTGTAGATGTTTTCTTCTAGAAGCTTTATAGCTTTAGCTTTTATGTTCAGATCTATAATCAATGTCTAGTTTATTCTTGTGTATTGGGGTTCATTTATTTCCGTATGACTATCCAGTTGTTTCAGGACCATTTGTTGAAAAGATTTTCCTTCTCCGTTGAGTTATTTTAGTGCCTTTATAAAAATGACTTAAATATATAGAGTAGATCTCCTTCTAGACTCAATTCCGTTCCACAGATCTATTTATTTGTCTTTTAGCTAATATGATACTCTTTTAATTACTGTTGCTTTACAGTTAGTCTTGGAATCAGGTAGTGCAAGTCCTCCAAGTTTTTTTCACTATTTTTTCCTGGTTATTCTAAGTCCTTTGCTTTTTCATAAAATTTTAGAATCAGCCTATCAATTTCTACAGGAAAATTCTTTTTCAGGCATTGTGTTGAACTTACAGATCATTAGGAGAATGGGCATCTTAACAGTATTGAGTCTTCCAATCCATGAATATAGTATGTCTCTTCATTTATTTGGTTTTTTGGGTTAGTGCTTCATATTTCTCATATTTTCTCTGTTAATTTTCATCTCTTTTTTGTCCTTTGGTTCTTCCCCAAGTATTTTGTCAATGTTATCTTCCAATTATTCTATTGAATTATTCTTATTTCTATTATATGTTTAATTGCAAAAGGTACTATTTTTGTTCTCAGAGGACCCTCTTTGTCTAGTATTCTGTTCTAATTTCATGGATGTCTTCTCTGTTATTTTTAAAGATATGATGTATAAGACTTTTAAATTGTTTAATTTAGGCCCCTGTGTTATCTATTTCCCTCATGTTCTTTTGTATATGTTTAAATTTTTGTGGCTTTCTTGTATCATTACACATATTTCTTATTATTATTTATATTTTTCTGGGTATTTATAAATTTCTAAAGATGAAAAGTTAGAGAAGAAAGACTGCAGCATAAAAGTGATAGGGAATTCTGTGTGTGTGTGGGGGGTTGCTGAATGTTGGATTATACTCTAGAATAGAGTTTCTCAGCTTTGGCACAATAGACATTTTGGGCCAGATAATTCTTTGTTCAGGAGGCTGTCCTATGCATTGTAGGATATTTAGCAGCATCCCTGGCTTCTACCCACTAGACGTAGGTAGCACCTTCTCCTCAGTTATGACAACCAAACACTTCTCTAAACATTGACAAATTTCTCCTGGGGGGGCAAAATCACCTACAGTTGAGAACCACTGGTCTATATTAATCAGTCAAGAGCCTCTGTTCTTTTTGAAGGACACCCCACTCTCAGTATCTCTGGTACTTTTCTCATAAACTGGTCATTTCCCTTTAAAAATGAATCCCTTTAACATTCCTATTTGGGGTGGGGAGAGTGTATAAGCCCAGCTGCCAATATTCTTGAATCATAGTTGCTGCTATGGTTAAGTAATCATGATATAAAATACAGATATTCCTTGACCTATGATGGGATTATGCTACAATAAACACATTGTAAGTAAAAAAAATGAATTTAATACACCTAACCTACAGAACATCATCGCTTGGCACTATCTTAAAAGTGCTCAGAACACTAACATTAGCCTACCATTGGGCAAATCATCTAAGATGTAGAAGAAATTTGAAGTGAAACAAACAAACCCTGTGTGCTGATCAAAGGGAA